CGGTGGTGTAGTAAAACTGCGACAACAAGACAACAATCTGGACTGCGCCGCTACATAATCGTGACGGAATCGCGCGAACTGGGGCCTACGACTAAACTCCATCATTGACTTGGAGTGTCTGTTCGCACTCCCACGGCTTCGCATCTGCACGGAATTGACAAGGCTGAGAGCCGCGCTCGAGGACCCGCGAAGAATCTTTCAGGCCGGCGGGATCACCGGATACACACAGCAGACGCACCCATCAAACATCTCCCTCGCTCCAGCCACACGAGGCGCGCGAGCACTCATGTCGAACCGCAAGCGGCGCGCGCCGGGTGCTTCACCACAGGCTCCCACTCAGGCGTACCAGCACGACATCCCCGCGACCGACTCATACATGAACTGGAACGACCCCACGGCTGGCGCAGACATGAACTTCACCGACCCGCCGCTATACGACTACAACGGCCAGAGCATGGGTGGGGGCCACAGCCGCGTCGTGTCGCTCGATGGATACAACGACGGCGCGGAAATGGCGGGGCAATTGGTACGGCGAAACACAAACCAGCAACTTGCACCTGCGCCACGGCGGAATCAATGGGATGGATTTGCTAGTCCGACGCAACAGTGGGAGACGGTGGATGACGACGAGGAGCTGGAGCAGAAGGCGGCTATTGCCAAGAAGGATGCACAGGCGAAGCGGAAACAGATCCCGCCATTTGTGCAGAAGTTGAGCAGGTGAGTATCTTGCAAACTGTACCCAGGACTGTGACTGACCTTGACAGTTTCCTCGATAACAACAAGAACGAAAACCTCATTCGCTGGTCGGACGACGGCAACTCCTTCATCGTGCTCGACGAAGACGAATTTGCGAGGACCCTGATACCCGAGCTCTTCAAGCACAACAACTACGCGTCCTTCGTACGGCAACTGAACATGTACGGCTTCCACAAGAAGGTGGGACTCTCGGACAATTCGATGAAAGCCAGCGAGACAAAAGCGAAAGCACCTAGCGAGTACTACAACAAATACTTCAAGCGCGGTCGACAAGAGTTGTTATGGCTGATCCAGAAGCCGAAGAATCCTGTCACCGGACCTAAGCGGAAACGGGACGAAGAAAACAAGGGCGATAGTGACGAAGACCGCAAGTACATTCAAGATACAGGGGGCGGAGGCTATGTTGAGGAAGTAGCCGTCAGAGGAAACGAGCAGATGGCCATGATCCCGCGTTCGGAGTACAACAGCCTGCGGGTTGAAGTCAGGGAACTCCAGCAACAACAAAAGCTCATCTCCAACGTCCTTACCCAGATCAAACGCCAGAATGAGGAGTTGTATTCACGAGCGACGTCCTTCCAGGCGCTGCACGACCGCCATGAGAACTCTATTAATGCCATCTTGACATTCCTCGCCACCTTTTACAATAGGAGTCTAGAGGGTAATGCGAATATGAATCTGGCAGACATGTTCCCCGCGGCACGACAACAACATCACGGCAATGTCGTGGATGTTGACGACTATCCCATGCAAGAAGCACAAAAGTCACCGCAATTGCAGAGGAACAAGAAACCGCTTGCCATTTTACCAGCGCCAGCTCCGAACCAGGACTACCTCGCTCCAACGACGACAGGTCGCGCCACGACCATGAGCCCAACAGCCCGGCCACTCGCTAGCCCCATCACACGGCCTGGCAGTCGACAATCAGTGTTCAGGCCCTCAGTATCGATGAATCGCCAGCAGTCCCAGTCGTCGCCATTTTCTCAACAAACCAGAGACAGCATAACGCCCTCCCAAGTCAAACCCGACCCCGCCTCCAACCTAGGCCCACTGGCCGACAACTCGGCCATCATGTCCGCCATCCAAAACGCAAACGCCACAGCAACCAACCACTCCGGCACTTCGCAACCCCCACCTTCAGACTTCGACTACGCCGCCGCTTTATCAAATTACCAAACCCAAGACGGTCATGTCCCTCTCACCCCACAACAACGCAACGACGTCCTCTCCCAAATCGTAAACAACACGTCCGCCCAAAACACAAACAACGCGCTTACCAACCCGCACCCGCCTGAAATGGACCGCCTGCTGGGTGATCTAGCCCAGTACCAAGCAACGCAGCAACAACTAGAAATGCTACAAAAGTTATCCGACCAGCAAAACAGCAAAATCCAACATATCCACGAGCGTATCCTGCCGCTATCGCCCACAGGCCAGATCTCCGGCTTGGGCGAGGGCAACGACGGGTACTTCGGTGGCGCAGCCGGCGACGACGGCGGCCTAGGCGAACCCGGCGGCTTCGACCTCAACATGGGCCATTTCGTCAACGACGACGATTTCTTCACCGCGGACGCGAATCCTCCCGATCAAAAAGCTACAAACGGCATCAACACCAATACTAACGGCGGCGGCCTACCTGATTTCACATTCGATGCCAGTACGCCTTTTGATGTCGATCCCGCGAACGGCGATACCGCTGGTTTTGATTTCGCGGATGACGCGAATGGGATTGGCGGGGAGGATCCTGGGTTACTCGGTGTGGATGACGCGACGGGTGCGAATGGGACTGTGAACGGCGTGGGTAAGATTGAGAGTACAGCGAGTGGGGGCAGTAGTAATAGTACTAGTCCTGCTGCGACGGTGGAGGAGGTCGAGGATGAGACGAGGAGGGGGAATGGTGGTGGGGGTGGAGGTGGGGGTGGGAGTGCGAAGAGGAGGAGGAGGTAGACGGGTGGATGTGAGAGATTGTACAAAGACGAAGGGGAGCAGGGACGGGATGGGATGGGATGGGATGTTGTATTTGATTGATGCGGAGGGATTACGACAGTCACGACTGGATCGAGTGTTTTATCAGCCATGCGCTTTTTCGCTGGCATTTTTTCTTACGGATGTGTTCTTGTTTGCATGCACATGTCGTGTTTTTTCTTTCTTTGTATTGTGAGGAAGGAATATCAGATACCCCACTTCTTCATATTGCGCCGTTCATTATACTCATTAGAGATGTCGTAGATGTACCGATTTTTCAGTAGATATCGCACAGTCTCATCATCACGCATGGAGGTTGCTACACTATAAGCAATAGCTATACGAACGAATGCAACATTCGAGGAGACGGAAATACTTGTCTCGATACTGATGAGCGTACGGTGCCACCGTCCTTTGGGTGGGTGGGGGAGGCGGAGGGGAGGAGGAGGGGAGGAGGTGGATTTTAGGTTTAGCAGGATAAAAAAGCAACAGACATCTACCTCTTCCTCTCTCCGCCTCCGCGACCCGCCCGTGGCGGAGAACGAAACTTGTTGAATCAAGTAATATGATACAAGGAGAGGTGTATCAGAGATGACCAATGGTCTGAAATTAAAGATAGACATGAAATCTGGTCGAAATACAGCACGTACCAAGATCCATATGTCGAAATGAGTACCATGAGCTCGAGGGAAAAAAAGTGACCTTTTCTAGTCTCATAGATAGCTAAAATGTAGGTATCAAACGCCATACGCCGTATCATAACCCCAGCACACTTTATCAGCGCCACACAATGCTGCTTTGAGGAACATCCTCATTGCAAATCCGATCAGCAACACTACTAGCCCGGGTATCTACCTCATTTATCGCCCTTCTTCTTGCGCAAAGACTGTCCAGACCCTTCAAAATGCTTCGAATCTTTCTGCTCACCCTCCTCTTCCTTGCCCTTGAGCGGCTTGATCTCATACCCGAAGAACAGTTTGTTGGGTGGGAGTCTGAGCGGCTGCGGGCCGTTGGTGCGTCGTACTGTCGGGGGCGGGTTTGAGGACTGTCCCGCGATGGGGGTGGAGGCTTGGGGGGTGGGTGCCTTGCTGCCCTTCTTGAGCAGCTTGTGACCGGTGGTGAGGAAATTTGAGGATGTGGCCTTGGCTCCGTTGGCTGCGGTCGTCGATGATGGTGCAATGGCAGCGTAGTTGATTGCGTCTGCCATGGTGCCGTGCGCGTGTAGTGTGCCGCCTTTGCCGCTCATGACACCCTTTCCGCTACGCGGTGTGCTTGTGCCGCTGTTCCTTTGGGGCTCTTGGTAGCCTACTGGTGGAGCGAAGTCGACGGAAAGATCAGTCTCGATGGTGCAGACGGCCTTGCTTGGGTGTTCTGGCTTTGCCTCCAACACTGCTATGCTATACACGTTGTCGTTGTATGAAAAGGTGAATATGTCGCCGACTGTAAGGCATGAGAAGTTGCGGAACGCGGTTTCGAGCACGGCCTTGGGGTCGGAGATTTCGAGGAAGGACGAGTCTTGTGGTTGCAGCTTGATAAAGGTGCCGAGAGGGATGTCGGTCGACTTGACTTGTAGCAGGTCACCGGGCTCCAGCTGGAGTGTCTCCATGAGCCAGTATGGCAGGTAGATCTTGCCCTCTTCAGCGATGAATTCCAGCACACCTGCGTGTGTCTTCTTCCCGTCCGCCTTGCCGTTTATGAGCTCGAAGAGCATGGGGTATGTGATGTGCAGCCTGGTGAGCTTGTCGAGAGCACTCGGAGGGAGGAACACTTTGCCGCCGTGGTTTGCCTCGTGGCGCTCCGGGCCAGGCAACATGACGATGGGATAGCATCTAAAGTACTCATCGAAGCGTCGAGGAGCGCCGCCGCGACGTGCGGCGAGGGACTGGTACATGGCCATGGGATCGTCTTGGTCGTAAAAGTTGGGGTTGAACTGTACGTGGTGAGTGTAGGACAAAGAAGGTGGTGGGTCGCACTTACCATTTTAAGTGTACGGAATCAGTGAGTCAGAGGATTTTGTAGAGGGCAGTGAATGGTTCGGGTATTGTTAGGTAACGGCGGGCAGGTGGTAGAAGTAATACGTATTGATGAGAGGCCTGGGATGACGACCGTGGTTGGTAGCAGTACAGCGGGCCGTTTGAGCCAGTGAGAAGTCCGCTAAACTCCGATTAGCGCGTCGTGGCCCAAGCTTCAAATTAATCGCGTCCGACGTCACTGCCTGGCCGCCTGGACTCACATATCGCCAAACCTCTACTCTGAGATACCGCGCAACGTTGCTAACCATCATGGCCAGCTCCAGTGGAACATACAACCCCGCGCGACCGAAGCGCGCTGGCGAGCAATTCACGCGAACCCACCACATGGACGCCGACGAACATTCCACCAAGAAGCCCCGCTTTGACCCGCGCAACCCCTCCACGCTGGCTCCGGACGCAGACGACGAAGAAGATCCAGCTCTCGAGGCTGACGTTATAGGAAAAAGCGCAGGCATCAAGCGGAACGCGGTCAACATCGACGGCTACGACTCAGATAGCTCCACGGAGAACTTCGAGGCGCGCGCAGAAGCCCGGCCCAACAAGGACGAGCCGCCCAAAACCGAGGACGATGACGACGACATGTTCGCAGAGGACGATAAGGACGATGAGATGGACGAGGGATTGCGCAGAGATCAGACCAAGAAGAAGAAGTTGCGCTTCCTGGACGATGCAGAAATCGAAGGCCAGGAAGTGAACAGCAAGTCTGGGGGTCATGTAGCTGTCGACTTCACCAAGGGTCCGAAGAGCAGAACCGATGAAGTAGAGAGTAGCAGCGACGAGGGCGATGACGAGTTGCGCGACCACGTCCCCTCCGACGTCGACGAGGAAATAGGTGCTGGCGGCAAGAAGAAGCATGCGCCCAAGCTAGATGCTTTCAACATGAGCGCCGAGCAGGAAGAAGGTCGTTTTGACGAGGCCGGAAACTTTGTGCGCAAGGCCTTCGACCCCGAAGCTGCGCAAGACTCGTGGTTGGATGGCATATCGAAGAAGGACATCAAAAAGGCAAAGGAGGCGCAAGACAAGCTGGATGCCGAGCGAAAGGCCCGAGAACGGGCTGAAGACTCCATCGTCACCAGCGATGTCCTGTCGACCCTCATCGCACACCTCGATGTTGGCGAGACACCCATGGAAGCTCTCGTGCGATACGGCAAGGCAGCACCGAAGAAGCCAGCCAAGAACTGGGCCAAGAAGAAGAAGAGCCAGGCTATGGAGGTTGATTCAGATCCATCGCAGGATGCTGCAGCGATCAAGGCAAAGGAGGTGATTGATTCTATAACCGAATGCGCCAGTCGGCTGTCTGATCGCGGCGTCGAGGACATTTACGAACTCCCCCGCGAATCCATCATGCGGCAGTACAAGCGTGAGACGGGAGAGGACTGGAAGAACCCGAACCCGGAGACAGTGCAGTGGGAGTTCCACTGGCTCAACGCACCAGAAGGTGAGATTAATGGGCCATACGACCAAGCGACCATGCAAGCGTGGGAAGCCAGTGGGCAGTTCGCAGCAGGAGCCGAGTTCCGACGCGTCGGCGAGACTGAATTCTCGCGGCTGCTCGACTTTGAGGACTGAAGGGGCATGCAATTGATGTAAGCACAGCCACGATGTCTGTCTGTCGCGTAACGAGTCCGCAGAAAGGGATGATGGCGAGACGTCGCGCCCGAGAGTGGTGTTCGGCCCAGTGGCCGGATTCACATGATCAGCTATGCATGCAGGCTAAGCGATCCTACAAACCACATCTGCTGTGCTCAGCCAGTCGGAAACTTGATAAAAGCGGGAAGCCGTCCCTGATCGTCTTCCATGGCCGAGTATATGCCTAGCTTTCAGATGGTCTGTCAAATGAAATGAGTGAGTGTGCTGTGCGGCGTGGCTGCGCAGCGTGGATGAAGATTATACAGCGTTATGTGTAGACCACAATAGAATATGAACAAGCAGTGTCAAGCGATGACCGTGAATATGCAGCCTTATTCCAGTTGCACATCTGGGGTGCAGCACGATGAACCGTACCAGGGGAGATTACCGGTGGCAGGGTGCAGCTGACGACGTCGCGTGTGCTCATCATGCACCCCGAGCGTCTCGGAGGATTCTGGCCAAAGGAGCAGGTCCCTCGAGTTCACGACGGGGCAGATTTGGCCTGTCTCGACGCCGTTGACAGCAGACACTTCTGGCAGGCGTTGATGGAAGGGAAAAGCAGAGTTGGTGTTGTTCCACGTTATTGGCAGGGAGCTAACGCTACGGCCCGCCACCTGGCGACTTCCAGAACGCCGGGCCATCCCTCTGTCGCCCTTTTGTGAGGCTGGCCCGTCTAGGGAGGGCGGTGATGTGGCGCGTGGGCAGACATGGTGGGCATGAGTAATGGGAGGTGTTGGGCTCTGGCCAGGGCATCTGTGCGGACGAGGGTATTTTAAGAGAGATGTCATGTAGACCTCAGACGGCGGGAGGAACAAGCCGTATACACAACTTAATACCAAACACGACCTAGGCAGAGTGCAGCGGGAGATGGTTTACGATGGGCGTCAGCCAATCAAGATGGATAAGTCGCTGACTCCTGACCTGGCCAGCCGTTCGCTGCGCGCGAGACTATTGAAACAGCTGCCCTCTGTCGTCGCGGGCACGTGTGCAGCCGTCTCCCCGCGCCGTTAGTGGGTGTCAGGACAACTTTTGCTTCCAAGCGGCGGGCATCGTCGTCGCATCCAGCCAGCTACGCATCCACCCGGTCGCGTGTTAGCGATATTGAAGCCCTCTGACGTCTGCTAGCCTGTTGTTCGCGTCCCACCGAAAAGTGCGGCTCGAAAGGGGACGACTGCGCTGGGTCCGCCAGGCATCCCTGATTATTACCATCGCCAGCCAACCTCGACCACGCAAGCTCGAGCTCACGCCGACCCCTTTTCTCCTCCGATCCGACACGACCTGTTTGCGACGGCCGCCTTCCGCTCATTTCACGACATTACGAGCTTGGACCACGTGCTACTCTTACCTCCGCTGTTAATTTTCTTGCTCTGCACCCAAACACCGCCCCGGCCCTCCCTCGCCGCACACATATAATGTACTCGTCGGCGTACGACCAGTCGACGTCGCGCTCGCCCATTGCCCAACGGAACCAGCCCCACTCTGGCTCCCTGCACCGCATGCCCTCTCGCCAGTTCGACGCCTACCAGCAGGTCCAGCAGCCCAACACCATGTACGCGCAGGACGACCACCAGCAGCGGTACGATCAGCCGCGCAACTACGAGCGCCTCAACCAGACCATGCACGCCGGCGCCTACGGCTACGACATGGGCGCGCCCCAGGGCTGGAACACCAACGCCTTCTCCCAGAACCAGGGCCTGGGCTCGCTCGGGGGCGCCCAGCAGGCCCGCATCAAGTCGCAGCAGCGCGGCGGAGGACGGAGCGCACTGCCATCGGTGAGAACACGACATTCACATTCTGGCACGCATAAGTACTAACAGACCCCAGGGATGGATGGACCAGCAGCCCCAAGGCCTGCCCAGCTTTGCCCTGGGCAACAACAACCTCGGCGCCATGCAGAACACGAGCTACGGCCACGACGTCGACGAAGAGCTCATCCCCACCGCCATCGTCATCAAGAACATCCCCTTTGCCGTCAAGAAGGAGCAGCTCGTCTCCCTCATGACGGAACTGCGCCTACCCCTGCCCTATGCCTTCAACTACCACTTCGACAACGGCGTCTTCAGGGGCCTGGCCTTTGCCAACTTCACCACCGCCGAGGAGACGGCCGCCGTCATCGAGTCGATGAACCACTTTGAGCTCAACGGCCGGAAGCTGCGTGTCGAGTACAAGAAGATGCTGCCATTGGCTGAGCGGGAGCGTATCGAGCGGGAGAAGCGTGAACGTCGTGGACAGCTCGAGGAGCAGCACCGGCCCCTCGGCGGCGGTCTGCAATCACAGGCTTCGTTCGGCTCCCTTGCCTCGCACATGCCCGCTACATCGCCATCGCCAGTTTCAGCCATGCGAGCTGGATCGGCGTCAAAGACTGTTGGTATGTTTGCAGACGGGACATATGACGGGAACATTGCTAACAACTATTTAGACGTCGATCTCAACGACCCTCAAGTGCTCCAATTCTACACGCAGTTGCTTTTGTTCAAGGAGACCAAGGAGCGCGACAGCATGACGTTCCCCCCGAATCTGGCGCCTCTCCAACGCCGCACCGTCCACACTCTAGCCCACCAGCTAGGCCTCGCGCATGTGTCCAAGGGCACCGGCGAACAGCGACAGGTGCATATTTTCAAGGTCCACGACAACCAGGGCCTCAGCCCCCCGATGCCGCAGATGCCCAGCAACCACATGGAGCAGCCTCGCCGCAACCTCAACCGCGCAGCGACCACCGACTTCAGCGATGTGCGCGCCGAGGGTGGATTCTACAACGCCTTCAACAGGCAGCCATCAGGTCTTCTCGGATTCCCCGACTCGCCCGGCGGCCTGAACGCAGTGCCCAACCTCCGCGGCGCCAAGTCCTACGCTGACCTCCGCTCCTACACGCCTTCGCCCGCGCCCTCGACCGCCAGCCACCCCATCGGCCGCCCAGGCGGCATCTCACTCGAAGGACTTGGCTACAGCGGTAGTTCGACCAACCCCAACGGCACCCCCACGACGGGCTCCATGTCGCAACGCGACGACAGCCTGCTCGAGCGCGAAATGAACCGAATGCAACTCAGCTCCGGCTACCCGCAAAACAGCAGCCCGCGTGCTCTGCGCCAAATGACGTCTTGGGATGCGCCTGGCCCCATTGGCGGCCACCGCTCCTTCAGCACAAACTACGACGACCGTCCGTCGCGCCAACCCCGTGGACCCCTGCCCGAACGCGGCCAGGGCTTCGGCCGCCCCCGCCAAAACGGCCATCAGAACCGCAACAGCGATGAGCTGTCGAGTCAATCCAACGTCGAAATCCTCGTAGGCCAATAGCTTAATTTCACGCAACGACGAAAATGAATGTCGACGCACGTATCCTCACTCCTTCTATCACACCAACGAAACGTGCGATGGCGCCCTGACAACCACTCAATGAATGACACGAACGTCTTTTAACGGCCCTCGCTACTTTACCACGCCAAACACACACCCTGGATTGAAACCTTTACGATGCATACGAAGAATGATGCTACGAAACGGTAGAAAGATAAGACATTAGTATAACACCTCCAAGAAGATCCAGACTTTTTCCCCCCAATGCGGGCTCGCTGCCCCAAATATTTCCTCCCTCCCATCCATTCATTCTCGGTATCCCCTGATCTTGGCATTCTGGGTTGCGCAAAGCAAAAAGCATCATTTCATGAACATATAGGATTTCATGTTGTTCGTAGTTTGCTGTTTCATGTATCGCCCCTTTTTCTTGTCTGTCGTTTCCAGTTTTTCGATTCGCGGTTTTTTATTACTATAGTCTTTTGGATAGTGCTGGCCCCCAGGTGGTGCGACAGGATTGTAATGGAAGGTGTTGCAAATTTTTGAACCTTTGAAACTTGAAACTTGAAACTTGAGCCTTGAATCTTGATGGCATTCTTTCATAAGTGCCCTTGTTCCACGCATGTCAACCTTGATGATATAGATCTCGGTGCTTTTTAAACTGATACATGGCAAGTTCACGCGGGACCTCCGTCTCCGCGAGTGTGACAGGTTTGCTCATTCGGAAAGGTACCCAGGTTATTTCTTCGTGAGCCAACCTGCATTATAAGATTTTTTAAGCCATGGCTGCATCTATCTTTTCCCTCGTTCATCCTAGTAGACACAGCTCAAGCTTCAAATACGTCAAACAGCACAAGCATTGACGGATGCAAAACCATTATGTCATCGAAGTGTATTTTTATCGCTCAAAGTAGGCGCTCAAGTCAAATGCTCAGCGCACATCCACCGCCAAAGTAAATCCAGCAGAAGCAAGTCTGTCTCGCGTACCAAAGCCCCAGTGCCGTCGTCAGACCGTGTATATACCGCTAAATGTCTGATGCGATGCTGCATGCGGACTTGCATGCGCGACGGAGGCAGAACTAGTGATTCCCCCGGAACTAGAGAACGGGGGAAAGAACGAGAGATAGTGGTGGAGGGGGGAGAGGCCAAGATAGCCTAAACCATCTCATCAAGCTCCTCGTCAAGAACCTCCTCTTTGACACCAACACTCTTTCCATCGCCGCCAGATGAGACGTCCTCCTCTTGGACTTCAGCCTCGACACTCTCCTCCTTCTTGCCCTTGCTCTTAGCCTCCTTGGCACGCGGTCTCTTGCTCGGCGTAGCCAATTCGTCCTCCTCCTGACCATCTGCGCCATCTCCAGCCTCAGCGCCCCTCTTCTTGCTACCGGGTGTCTTGCGCGGCGTCGCAGTCTTCTTCGCACTATGACCCGCCCCGCCCTCCGGCAGATCCCAGCTGAGGTCGAGGTAGAGGTCGCGTTGTTTGACGCGGAGCGCGGAGATGCGGTTGCGGATGCTGCCGATTGAGGTACCTGGGTGTGGGGGGTTAGTGGGGGTGTTGGAGATTGGAGATTGGATGGGGGGAGGGGAGGGAGGAATGAGAGGAGGAGGGTGGTAGTGGGGGGAAGGTGGTGTACCGCGAGGACAACGGGCGGAGACGTAAGGAAAGAAGTGTAGATGAGAGGGGAGGAGGCACATACCAGGGAACGCAGAAGACAACTGAGGGTACTCGTCTGGCTTGACGTAGCGGCCTTGAGTCAAGAGGAGGAGCTATCAAAATCATTAGTCGTGCTGCTGTGAGGTGGAGTATGCGTGATGTAGTAATACCTTTGTATCGTTTGGACCTTCCCATTTGAACGGCTGGACTGGGTGTCAGTCTACTGTGTAAAAGAAAGCTGAGGGGGTGTTACTTACACCGCCGGCCTCGCTAGCATCGCCGTTGGTAGCTGCCTTCTTGGGTGGCATGGTCGTCCGAGTGTTAGTTGTTGTGGGGCTTGAGTTGGGAAAAGGGTCCGCGGCTTGCTGGGTTTGTGTGGTGAGGTGGATGGTGTAAGAGAGAGAGGAAGAGTAGAAGAGGAATCAGGCTAAGAGACAAGTAGAAACGAGGAATTTATACGTGTCTCGAGCGGGAGATTAGAAGTGCGAAAGAGGAGAGAGGTGAGAGTGAGATTCTACTTGATTTCCTTTTCAAGAGAACAGTCACCTTCACCTTTGCACTTTACCCAGCGGGGAGAGACACGGGAGATTCGCACTTAAATCTTGATTTTCAGGGTAAGGTAAATCCCGCAGATTATGCTGTATAATTCATACCGCCCCGGGGCCAGAATGCGCAATAATCAAGACAGTTTATGCTCCAGATATCGATCCTAATGAAGTCGTACCTAGAAACCGACTACCCTCGCCCATGACTAACGTCTCAGTATCTCAGAAGACCTACATATCCTCATCAAGAACCTCCTCCTTAACCTTCCCACCATCCTCCCCACCTCCCTCACCACCATCCTCCTCAACACTCTCCTCCTCCTTCTTCTTTGCCTGAGTCTTAGCCGGCCTACCCCTCGGCTTCTTCGCCTTCGGAGTCTCCTCCTCAACATCATCTCCCTCTCCCGCCTCTTCCTCAGCATCCCTCTTCTTGTTCTTGCGCGGCGTAGGAGTCTTCTTCAGCACCGCACCACCGTCAGGAAGCGTCCAGCCGTACTCATCAAAGAGTTTGCGTTGCTCGACGCGGAAACGGGAGACTTTGATTTTTACGCCGTTGAGGTTTGTTCCTGAGGGAGGGGTTAGTGGGTTGTTGTGATTGGGGGGTGTGGTGTACGGGGACGTGGATGTGGCGGTGGTGGTTGGGTGGGAGAGACGGGTTTTTGTGGGCGGTGGTAGGAAAGACGGGAGGGAGAGGGGGAAGGAAGACATACCAGGAAAAACACCAACAAGACGCTCGTAATCTTCGCCCGTGAGATAGCGGCCTTGGGTCAGGATGAGGAGCTAGTTCAGCTGTGTCAGTTCCAGGTCCTTCTCACCCATACTGAACCTGGCTTACCTTGTTTGCGTTCTCGAGTGTCCAACGGAATGCCTAGTCTTGAGCGTCAGTCAAGCGGCTCGAAAACATCGGGGGAATAACAAAGTGACATACACCGCCTTCAGCCTCGCCACCCTCAGCTGCTGCGACCTTCTTCTTGGGAGGCATCGTTGGTGAAGTGGTGAACTGCCCAGGTGGTTTGTTGGTGTGCGGAACTGAGGTGGGAGTGTTGGGTTTGTGTGGGTTGGTAGATTGTGTAAGAAAATTGGAATGTGGCGATGGAGGAAGAAGAGGGGAGAGGGGAGAAGATATCACGGAGCCGTTTAAGTAGACGATTGAGAAGTGCGGGACTGAGGATGGTGAGAGTGAGATCTGAATCTAGATCCGTGCAAGATGAGGGATTTCAAGCTTACCTTCACCTTTGCACGCACAAAGCGAAAACGGAAATCACTAAAGACGAATTCGAAAATGGGATTTGTTTGGCGGAATAAATCCCGCAGATAATGCAGAGTGCATTTGTACTGACAGTTTGCTAATGTTCGAGGCAGTGCCTTACTCAAATATCCCTCATCATGAAGAATCAGTAGAACCCATCACACGCTCCTACACCCATTCCCTCAAGCGCCCAGAATGCCTAGACATCCTCCTCAACCAACTCCTCCTTGACAAAGCCATCATCCCCATTCAGCTCACGAAACAGCTCACCACCAAGCCCATCATCCTCCTGGACCTCCTTCTGAACAACCTCCTTCTTTGGCTTGCGGGCACGCGGCTTCTTAGCAGGCGACTCCATCTCACCAGCAACCCCAGCATCACCACCAGCACCGTCACCACCCTCCTCGCCCTTATCAGCAGCGCCCCTCTTCTTCGGCGACTTGCCCGGAGTCTTCGAAGGAGTCTTCTCCGCGTCACAAGGGAGAGGCCAATCTAGCTGCTCACAAAGCGCACGCTGCTCCTTGCGCATCTTGATGAAGCGCTGGCGGATGGCGTCCCAGTTTGTACCTGCTAATCGTTACATTAGTAACTAGATACATAGATACACAGACAGTGCGGAGTGTGAAGCGTGGAGTGTGGAGTGTGTAGGGGAAACTTACCAGGACCAGGGAAGGCGCCGACCATTTTGTGGTAGTCGTCTTTGGTCAGGGTGCCGCGGTTCATGGCTAGGAGGAGGAGCTGTGGGGTGTGAGTTAGACGGTTGTGAGGTAAGGTGAGGTGAGGTACTGGGGGATGGGGGGTGGGACTTACAGTGCGCTCGTTTTCGGCGGTCCAGCGGAATTTCTGGGGGAGGTGTTAGTAAATGTGTATGTGAGTGGATTTGGCGTGTACGTACGCCGTCGCCGCCAGCTTCAGCACCGTCATCGCCGGTCTTCTTCTTTGGTGGCATGTTGATTTTTGAACACGGGTTGATCGTTGAGTGCTGTTTGACGATTGCGTGCTGGATGCTCTGCTCAGGCTGTCCGACAAGAGAACGTTGGAGGGTGATGTAGAGAGAGACAGAAGGTTTCGAGGAAACAGTATCAAGATAAGCCACTAGGCAACCAGAGGTGACGAGGAAAAGTGAGAGTGAGGTGCTTCGTTGCGCTGTGCTACGGACCATCAACAAACAAGCGCGCCTTCACCGTGATCTCCAGCAGCGAAGCATCGGCGCAAGAACAGCATGACGTACGGAGAGCAAGGACGTCTATATTGCAGTCGTTCCAAAACACCCTTCGTAAAAATCTCATAATATTTTTACTTGTCTATCCAAACCCCATTCCCAATATATACACATCCCTTCCCTAAACCCTCCCACCTCATCTACCACCATCCACCCCCACCCCTTCAACTCACATCCTCACATCCTCATCCCCTCAGCAATAACCTTATACTCCTTCCTCTTCTTCTGCATGCCACTCCCGCCAAACCTAACCTTCGCCACCCCAATCCACTTGCTCAACCCCGGGAACAGCATATTCTCCCCCACATACGCCGCCGCAAAATTACCCAAGCCCAACACCAGAATAAACACCTTGAACTGCGTATCCAGAAACGTGAGTTCCATCGCTTGCATAACCCACGCCGCGGGGTCAAACAGCATGTAGAGGGTAATGGCGAGGGTAACGAAGATGGTAGTGATAAAAGGCAAGTTGCGACCCATGGGCTCGCGATACGGTTTCCCGACGCTGAGGACGACGGCGGAGAAGATGTATTGGAAACAGGATGTAAGGAACAAAGCTGTGTTTTGGCTGTTCAAGCTGTTGCTGTGGTTGGGGTCCAGGACGGGGGGTTGATACCATTCCTGTTTCTGGACGTAGTGGAAGGCTATGAATTGGACGAGGATACACAGGACCATTTGGCCCAGTAGCGGCGTAAGCACCTTTCGTGATACGAGGTTGGCGGTGGGTCGTTTGCGGCTGAGGATCGGGTAGGCGCCGGACCAGCCCATGAAGATGGCGATGGGCAGGATGAGCAGCAGGTCGATGAAGAGGAATTGGAAGTCGCCGAGGTTACTCGCGCTGGCGTAGAGGAAGGATACGGAGCAGAACTGTATGGCGCTGTAGAGCGACATGTATTTGAAGCAGCTGAAGCTTGTAACAAGAGCCGCACGACCTTCTTTGATGACTTGCGGCACGCAGGAGATGTCGAATTGGCGGGATGTGAAGGGCGCGGCAACCGAGGCTTCGGCTTCGGAGAGCGAGATGCCTACGTCGGCTGCTTTGAGGGCACCGCAGTCGTTAGCGCCGTCGCCGCAGAAGCCGACGCAGTAGTCGATTGATTGGAGCTTTTCGACGAGTTCGTGCTTTTCGTCGGGGGACATGCGAGCGAAGACTTGGCCACAGACGAGCATTTCGCGGAGGACGGATTCGGAGGCGAAGTCGACGATCCAGCGGAATACGTCGCCGCTGACGGCTAAGCTGTAGTTGCGGAGGTTGGAAATGTCGTAGGGGAGGGATACGTCGGCTTCGGGTGGCGGTGGCAGAGGCTTGAGGGTGTTATCGTCAAGCTTGAAGACGGGGTCATCCACACTTTCCCAGCTGAGCTTTGACAGTGCCGTCCGAGAGTCACCCTCTTCGAAGTGAGGCACGAAGCAGTGAGCAGTCTTGTTGATGAGGCCACACTCACGAGCTACACTGATAGCAGTGAGAATGTTGTCACCAGTGCACATGACCTTGCGGATGTTTGCGCGTTCGAGCTCTTCGATGACAGGAGCGGTGCTGTCCTTGAGCTTGTTCTCGAAGATGATGAAACCAACAAAGTCTAGATCGCTCTCTGCTTCCTCGCGCTTCATCTTCTGGGTCTTCAGCCAGTTGAGCTTAGGGATCGATTTGGTGGCGCAGGCGATGACACGGAATCCGCGGTGGGTGTAGAAGGCTAGAAGTTCCTCGTAATCGGTAGGAAAGCTGTCAGGTCGGCAGATCTCTTTCATGACTTCAGGTGCACCCTTGACGTATACTTGTCCGCTCTTAGAGCCGAACTGGCGAACGATAACACTAGCTCTTCGCAGCTGTGAGACGAATTCGAAAGCCTTGAGTACGCCAAGCTCGACTTGCTTCCTGTTGGCTTCGTCTTCAACATCGTCGACATCATACTCTCGGCCTGGTGGCGGTCGGGCAACAGATGGCGAGAGCTTCTGCTCTGGGTCGTCATCACCAGCGTTGCCGGCTTTCTGTTCTCCTTCCTCGTAGCTCCAGCCGGTGAAGTCGAACATCTTGACATCGAGCGGGTCACCTACGAGCTCATCATCGATCTTGCGGAGGGAATGACAAGTGGCCATGGTGTACAGAATCGTCTTGTGTGCAAGGTATTCGACAGTGGGGTCGCGGTCATGCTGCGACGCAGGGAGAATGTCATAAGCATCTGGGAGCAGCTCACTGAACCTGTTTCTTGGTCGCTCGACTACGCGGACTCCAAGAACATCAAGACCTTCCTCGGTAAGAGTTCCAGTCTTGTCAAAGCAGACAACGTCCAGCTTACCACCAACGTTGACTCGTTGGGGGCTGATACAGAAAATCTGCTTCTGCTTTAAGCGCGAGAGGGCAAAGCTGGTACCGATGGTGAGTGTAGCTGGAAGCGCGGGAGGCACGACGATGGTGATCAGATCGAGAGCTCGTACGACAATCAGATGCCATGCGAGGCCTAGATGCACAAAGTTGATGAATGATGCGACGAAGCCGATCATAGCAATGAACGCCATGACGGAGATGTACCGGAAAGAGTCGCGGTAGAACTTGAATCCAGATGGCTTGGGGAAGAGCATCGAGCGGACCAGTGCGCCCTTGGTGGTGTTAAAACCAGTGCGCACAACCATAGCCAATGCAGCGGCTTCGTCATCAACGTGATCTTCGTGCGGTCTGCGAGCGCGGATGATCTTGGTTCCGCTGAACAGCATGTGTCGTGCAACTTCAGGATGGACAGCCGATGCGCTGAGATCTAGGAGGTCTAGAGCGTGGTTCGACATGGGGACCTTGGAAACAGGAATCGACTCGCCAGTCAGCATACTCTCGTTGACGATGCAGTCGCCAGAGAGCAACAAACTGTCACAGGGGAACAGCGCAAGAGAAGGGTCGGTGACTTCGTAGACATCTCCCGGTACAAGCTCCGCAGAGTCGATGTGGGTCCAGAAGCCGCTGCGTAGCACACGGACTTCACATTCGAACTTCGATACCTCTCGCAGTCTCTTCATGGAAGCCTTTGTCTCGATGAGTGTGGTGACGATACTGACGGCCGAGATGATGAAGATGGCGCAGGCGTAGTAGTAGTACTCGTCCATGGACCAAAGGATCAGACTGGCGATCTGGAAGACGTAGAAAGGATGAAAGACCTCATCGACTAGGAGCTGACCGATAGTCTTCTCGGCGATGTCGATTACGTTCTTTCCGAAGACCAGCTCGCGGTAGTCGCGCTCATCGTTGTCAAGACCCTCGCGGAGGGCAGAGACTTCGGTCCAGGTGGGATCTGTCCAGGTGTTTGCGAGGACGAACTTGTCCTTGATGGGGTGGTATACGAAGCGGATGTAGCGGTAGTCCAGGCACCTGAGCTCGCCGATGAGCGGGTCGTCTTCCTCGTCCCATTCCCGTGGCCGTCCCTTTTCAGGGTCGCCGAACACAGTCGAAAGCGACCGGCCGTAGGTTTGCTTGCTGACGTGCTGCACCGCAAACTCGCCCCACTGGTTCTCTGTGACTATCCAATCGCACTCCTTCAGCGGTGAGCTCTTTCCTGTTATCGCGACCCGCCATCTTGGCAACCATCTGAACAGGAGCCAGCCGAGACCCAGCGTCACGAAACAGAGTAGCGCATAGAGCGCGTAGCCAATGGGCGATGTTCTGAAGCCGGCGATGACAATGGTGAGGTCCTCGGTCATAATGTAGATCTTCTGGTTGGACCTGCGCCCTCTCCAGTCGATGCCTGAGCCTGCGCTGCCTGTGGAGGAGTGTCTGCGCAACAGCGGCCGCTCGGATGACTTCCTGCTGCCACTTGACTTCCGGCGCGATGGCGACGGTGAATGCGAAGTTTCCGAAGATATGCCCGCCTCGAGGTCCTCCAACTCCGACACGGTATAGCCATTGTTGTACGTGCTCTCTCCGTCCTCCAGAATGGCGCTATCCTCATCCTCACCCTGTGAATCCTGCTCTTCATCGTAGAAGGCGAAACTCGTCAAACTCGCACTCGAATCGGCGCGCGACCGGCGGTGGCGGAATCCGGAGACGCTCGTGGGGACGCTCTCGCTCATGGGGCCGGAGAAGACCTGGATTGTGGGCGTCAGCTGCTGGCCAGGCTTCCTTCCACGGGGGTTGTAGGCAGGACGGGAAGGAGGCATGGGGCCGAGTTCGAATACCTCATCTTGCGCCATCTCGACATCTTCCATGAAGCTTGCCCTGGTGCCGTCTATTAGTCGCGCCCAACGCGGAGCTGCAAGTCACACGTACTCGCTCAAGTGGGAGCCACGGCGGTACATGGCGCTCATCCGGCGCGGCCGCCGCCTCTCGGGGCTCTCGTTGTCGGCCATGGCGACTTTTGGTGTTTCGCGTGGTGGGCTATTGGGCCATGGTGAGCTTGTGCGACACGAAGTTTTCTTGTCGCGTCGCCTTGGGCTTGCGAGATAGGCCGTGCGGTGTATGACGTTTGAGCTAGTCAGGGATCCGCCTCCGTTCAGGGTGCTTTCATCCCGACAACACCATCAAAACCACGAACGATGAATGCGCCTTGTAGTAAACGAAGTACACGCGATTGTATGTGAGTGAGGAGTCGCTAGTCACGTTATTATGCCGCGATGGGATCCCGCACGGCAATGCAGTGATTGGCTCAGCTACACCGTTTACTCAGCCTCGCAGCATGCATGTCGTCCATGAGGCCAGCTGCAGCCTGTGCAACCAACTCTCCTACAACATATTCTCCACTCACGTATATTCTCGTACCATTGGTCTTGGGACCGCGGCTTCATGGCTCTCACCAATGACCCCAGCGTCCGCAGACACTCATATGCAGCACTCGAGGGCCCAGAGCACATCAGGCTGATCGCTCTGCACCCAGCCTCGTCCAAAGACGCACCCCTCGAAATTACATTTCTCGCATCGACACTCGAGGAACTCGAAGGTCGATACGATGCCATATCGTACACATGGGGGCAGCCAATCCTGACATTCGCTCTACACGTCGACGATGGTACTCAAGTGTGCGTCACGGAGAACCTTGACCGCGCGCTGCGATATTTGCGTTACAGTGATCGGAACCGACTCCTCTGGGCAGACGCCGTGTGTATCAATCAAGTCGATGACTCGGAAAAGTCAGTGCAAATTCCTCTGATGGTCGACATCTTCCGAGGTGCTCAGAGAGTAATGGCTTGGCTCGATCCGGGCAGAGACACTACGCTTGAGCAAAGAGACATGCGGATAATCGAGCGTCTATCCCGAAAGTCAAAGATGAGACATGGAATATGGGTGGAAGGCTGCAGAGAAGTCAGCTGTTTTATCAATCTTCCTTGGTTCAACAGACTCTGGATAGTACAAGAAATCGTCTTCAGTGTGGAAGTCCTCCTGATCTGTGGCGACACAGAAATTGCCCTCCCCCGCTTTATTGCCTCGCTATTTTTCATTCAGGAGGAGGCTTCCCCTTTGGAATCTGATGACAGGGCAAGAGTAGATGCCATTGCCAAGATCGGGAGACTCTGGATTCACCATTCGCTCTTTAACACCCAGCCAATGAGAGTGGAACATTCGACTCTCTATAAAAGCAACGGTAACAGCAACGACATTTTAAGCTTGGTAGGGACTTTTGCGCTGTATGCATGCACAGATCCACGAGATCGTATATACGCACTCTTGAGTATGGCAGCCAACGTTCAATCAGCCGGGTACATCTCCGAAACTGTCGGCTCTAGCGACTTCGACAGCGACTCTAACGAAGAGCCAGCCAAGACGAAGAAGGTCAAGAAGAGCGGAAAGAAGGCTGCCACACCCTCGTCCTTAAGCGATTCTAGCTCCTCCGACAGCTCTTCAGACAGCTCCTCCGACTCCGACAGCCCTTCAACGTCGCAAAAAGAGGGTGTTGTTTCCATGAACATAGATTACTCGCTCAACGTACGTGAAACATACAAGGCATTTGCGGTCAATTGCTGGAAAGAAAAACAAATGCATGCAGACATATGGACAGCTTTGTTCATGCGCCAGCACTCCTCTCGACCGGACGATTGGCCTTCTTGGGTGCCAGACTGGCGGGTTCTACCAAAGAAAACCATCCCCATCCAGGTTCCAATTTTTCTTCGTACCTTCCGAGTAATCAGTGCCACGAGAAGCGGAATTTGTTTAGAGACTGGCAGGCACAGACCTCTGCTATACAAGGATAATGTGCAACCTTATATTGTCAGATCAAACATTGCATGGCAATCTGTCGGTTCTGATCACTCCATTGAGTCACAGCTCTTTCAGCTGTGTTCAATGGTCAATGGACTGGAAACCGCGCGAAATCCCGATCCACCCACCGATGAAAGACAGCGCCGACCCTGGATGTCGTATACTAAAGGATTTCCCAACCTATTGTACAGAAGAGTCAGTGATTGCGTACTTCATTCAGATGTTGACTCCGGATTTCCCCACAATGAACCACATGGAGACCTCTTGCAGATACTCACTGAGCACCGGCCGTCGGTAACGGAGGGGACCAGAGAACGGGATCCGCGATACAGCCCCACGTCGACAACATCCAGACGTCAAAACCATAGCCATGACCTAGATCGAGCCTCGAAATATATTCCAAATCTTTTCGTGTTTCACGACCCACGTACTCAGGTGAACTCCATAGGCTATGGGATTGTAGCACCTGAGGTTGGTGATTGCATTGTGCCTATGGGACCTATGGTTCATGGCGAGACTGTGGGTGGAACAACGATGGTGTTAATACTCCGCCGTATCGATCCAATGGAGATATCTATCGCCAATACCCCGACCTATCGCCTCATCGGCAACGGCCGCATATTTGACCCGACTGAAGTACTCTTGAGGACGTTAGGAGAAGAATGTTTTTCTTTGAAAGATTGCGAATATGTCGGTGATAAGTTCAGTATAGTGTAGAACCTCTCTAGAGAGTGCCATCAGGTACGTCCACTCAACACACCCCACCTCACCTAACCAACCTCTCCCTCAAACCCCCATCTTCGCCCTAACAAACGCCTCAGTATCATCAAGCACCTCCTGCACCGCCTTAATAGTCCCAGGCGGAAACCCAATAAACCCATGCGGCGCCCCCCTATAAATCTTCACCACACTCTCACACCCCCACATCCCCCACTTCGCCCCCATCAACACACTATCATCCAACAACGGATCCTCACTCCCACACGTAAACAGCGCCGGCGGCAGTTTCATCCCCCGCAGGTCCTGCCAAAAAGGACTTATCGACGGGTCGCGGCGGTCGGCTTCGGTGGTGTTGGGTAAGAGGGCGTCGATGTAGGATTTCATTACGTCGTGGTCGATTACGAGGTGGGATTCGTGGTGCAGTACGTGGGGGAGGAAGGTGGAGAGGTCGTAGCAGCCGAAGTGGAGGAGGAGGCCGCGGAAGGAGAAGGATGGGAGGGTGGAAAGGAGGTGGAAGGCGACGAGGCAGGCGAGGTGGCCGCCTGCGGACTTGGGGGTGTTAGTGTGGGTGTTGAGTCGGGTAGGTGTGCAAGAAGAGAGGAAGGTAATCGAGGGAGAAGGGAGAGAGATGGATGTGACTGAGAGAAAAGGGGAAGGACACCTACCTCACCACCCGTAAACATCAATTCCCCACTAAAAACCTCCGGACCATTCTTGACTAGCCATTCCGCAGCGTCATAGCAGTCTTCTGCGCCGGCGGGCCACGGGTCTTCGGGCGCGAGCCGGTATCCGATTGATACGACTGTTACTTCGAAGTGGTCGGCCATGTATTTTAGGTAGGGGTCTTGACTATCTTTTCGTCAGCCCCAATCCTCACCCCCATATTCCCCATCCCCCATCTCCCCTCTCCCTCCACCATCCCCTTATTTCCTATTTCCTACCACCCCCCTCCACCCACCACCCAAATCCTACTACACACAACAATCAAACCAGAAAACCAACTTACTAAGCCTCACTCATCAACACCCACCCCCCACCATGAATATGCATATGAATCCCCCTGCTCACCACCCCATTGCTCGGTTTAAAAACCCTATACGGTATCTCCCTTCCGGCATCTCGGGAAGGGAGCGTGCCGTTGTAGCCTTCGGGGAGGACGACGGGTTTGGGGAGGGGGGTTTTGCCTTCCCAGCGCATCTGGCGGTAGGATGATGCGCCGACCTGTGGATTTTTGGGTAAACATAATGACTGGGGATGGGGATTGGAGGTTGGGTGATATGGGAATGGGAGATGTGGGTAGGGTGGGGAGGGGATGGAGATGGGAAGAGAGGATGGAGATGGGATGTAGATGGAAATGGGATGTGAAGGGATATGTGGGAATGGGACGTACCTCATACCACCTCGGTCCATCCGCCCAAATCTTAATCAATTTCTCGTTGAACTCCAGTGTTTGTTTGTCGATGCCGCTGCGATCGAACTTCGAGGCGTCGACTGTGACGTCTGATTTTGGATACATGGTTGTGGGTTGTCACGCTTTCTTTAAATGTTCTGTCCTTGCTCTTTCTTCTTTGCCCAACCAAATAGCTAGGTACTTGGACGTCGCGGGATGGCGGCTTCACAAGCAGTATATGGGGAATGTGTATGGAATGGGGATATGCAATATAGAATATGGGATGAGTCAAACAACTTCGAAGAAGTAAGAAAGCTAAAGACATGCGATTACCACGTTACATCCCCCATCGGCCACGGTCGTACTGCCTCGTGTTCGTCCCTTTTGCACGTATCAAAGTGGGGGCGGGGTACACCTACCACATCCACAACACCCGCCAACGCCCAGAACGTCATTAGTGTCTCTGATATGGTTGGCCTACACGCTGTTATTATCTCCGAAGTAACGTTCGTACCTGCATTTTCGGGTTACTCTTTCGGAAGACTCCGGATGTTTTGCGGTTGGGGTAAGATAAATGGAAGGTATTGAGGCCGGTATCGGCGGTGGCCTTGAACATGACAACCATGTCGAACGTCACACGATAACTTACAACCCCGTGTCGGGGAAGATACTGTAGGCAGAAGAGATGAAACAGGAGGAAAGATGATAATATTAGAGTATTAATAGGACGACGTAGACTACCGCACAGGTTTCGCTTGCATCCGACTCGTCGCCATACCCGTATGCCCATTTACCTGCCCTCCCTTCACCCTCCGTTTTGCCTGCCGTTCATCCCGCACAAACAGCGATGTAGCTACTGACACTGCTACCGCTGCTGTGCGAAAGGGATACATGGCGATATCCCAAGTCATCTGCAGCATGTAGCTAATAGTACCGGCGATCCAGCTCAGCGTCATAGCAATCACGCCTGGCCGCTGACCTGTTCTAGCAGCCGCGGCAGCTAAGGCGAGTGTATCTCCCAATCTAGCTTCCAGGTCTTGGAACCGGGCCTCGATTTGTAGGGATTGCGCCATGTGACGTTTTTCGTAGCGCCTGACTGCGCGGTTCAGGGCGTCGAGTTGGAGTTGTGTTGTTTGGCGGACTTCGGCGCTGAGTTTCTCTACGTCTACTTCGTTGTTGTTGGCGGGCGGGGGGCCGTCGATCCGGCTTTCTAGTTCCGCTATTCGCTGTGAGAGCTGTTGGGTGTTGGCTGATCGAGCGGGCTCTCGGGGAGCTTCTCGGACGATGCGCTGGAGATGGAGGATTCGCTCTGTTCGCATCTTGATGAGGCGGTTCACGGGGGGTATCTCGGCGATGAGGAGGAAGATGCTGAGGTTCGCGTCGGATACTATGCCTTCGGCGCGCATGAGTTGGCCGCGGATGGTGTGCATGAGGAGGGCGCCGAGGAGGGGACCTAGGAAGCAGCCGATGAAGGCTAGCATCTCTGACCGCTTTAGGGCTTCACGAGCCTCCTTCTGTGCTCGCGAGACGGGCGCATCGGCCGTGGTGTTGACCTTTGAGTCCTGCGTCTCGCCTGCAGGTTCGTCTACAACCTCTGGCGCATCCTCCTCCTCCTCATGTATCGTGTCGTCGTAGGTCGCGTCATCCGTATCGTCGTTCAGGTATCGTCGTTGCTGTGCCTCGTGGTACCAGTCCCTGCGTCGCGTCAGCTATGAATCTCACCCATGCTTGCTGCAACCTACCATGGCACCTTGACGCTCCAATGGAGAAACCATCCCGCCAGTACCAATATCAACACGTCTGTCGCGACATCTGCGCCATTCTCGACCGTCAATCCAATGATGGCAGGGACCACGGCAGCCACAACAGGCAGCGCAATCCACCGTGACGGCTCGTCTGAAGATGCATGTCGGCCCATATCATTCTTCCCACCCGCTCTGAGAAGATTGTCGCTGGAGGACCGCAGGGAATAGCGCGAGTCGGAGAGGTCGGAGACGAGGGAGCTGCGGCGTCGAGGTGCGGCTGTAGGGGGAGTAGAAGGTCGCGCACCCTCAGCGAAAGTGGCGGCGCGGTTCAGCATCCTCTGGCGCAGTTGAGGGTGGATGCTGGGACTGTCGGCCGGCGCAGCGTCCATGGCGAGTACCGGTTGAGGCCTCGGGATGGAAGAAGCAACGTGGACGACGCCGTTGCCAATGGATGCCTAGACGCCGCTTCAAGAAGGCGCAATGTGGTAGAGATGCGAGTCACCTGATCGCGATGGGTGCAGGCGCCGCGGAAGCATTGCTGAGGCTCTGGTGACGCTCACACGTACTAACGCGACGGTCGTGTGCCGTAGTGGAAGACGCCTCGGCGAGTCTAAGTCTTACGTCATGTCTCGATGCGGTCAATTGTAGAGCTGGGACCCTCTCCGACCTTCCTCACACATGCGCTATGGCCTAGCTTCCCATGGTTTGCAAGCGACTTGAGATGTCACTGCGAACACCATCTCGACACCAAGGTATATGCTGTGCGCATCCCGCATTCACCCATTCAGACCGTGGCAACCATGCCACACGTGTGCAGGCCTTCCTGCTGTGTAACCCAGCCTACACCATGACCGAGGAAACGACCAAGCGCTGCAAAGGCTTGCACATGCCTCATGGACTATCTTCCATTCGATCAATACACAATCTCGCCACCTGTTGGTCCCCGATGCTTCATACCAGGATGCAGCCATCTGCCGTAGAGTACCCCATCGTCCCAACGCACTTGTTCGGACTCCGACAATGTAACAAACGCCCACCAAACCGGGAAGGTAAACACCGGTTCCTGGATGCTCGAAAGCGGGTGAGTAGGATAATCTGGCTAAACCCGCCACGTACAACCCGACCTGCAACCATGCCGCAGCAGCGGGGACTTAGCACCTCGTCTCCCCATGATTCCCTCTCTGATTGCGCTGGTACTTATCACAGACATGTCTCGTCTCTTTCTCGTTGGTTTTCTATTCAGAAGTCGTCTTTTTCTATTCAGACCCAAATGCGGACGCGCAAAAGTCTCACTTCCACTACCACATCCATACCACCGCAACCGAATATCACGGGTACCAGGCAGCGCCCTGTCCATGCGACGGGTCAGCCCGTTTCAAAAAGACTGTGATTGACGTGGGCGAGGGCGTCTGCGGATATGATATCTTAGCGACATACTCGTTTTCACCACTCAAGTGAACGTAAGTCCTATTGAGCCTTATTGAAGCTTGAGACACGCTTTCGTTCTATTGAGAATTTCCATATACTCGGTATCGACGGGAGTGATGGGATTTCGAGGCTGCTTGCTGCCTGTCTATCTCTTCCGTTGCTTTTCTTTCTAATCATGATCTTTCCTATATCTAAACCCATCAACACTACCTGACACTATCCTGGAGATAGTTCAATCGACAACTCAAGAACGTCCACTTGCTCGATATCTACATCCCTGGACTGAATTCAGGTCTGCTCATTTGCAGCATCTAAGAAGACTCTCTATCTACATCTCTTGACCCCCTCTGGACATCCGCCACCATGTCAATGACATCTGCTGCTATGTCAATGGCCTCCACTGCTATGTCATTGACATCTGCTGTTACGCCAACCAACACACACTCTTACGAAGCTTACTGGACTGGCGATGCGGCGGGGACGTATGAATACAGCACCAACATCACCATGGAGGAGATGAACGCGCCCGTCTCCACCCAAGCCATCCTCTTCGTCACCCTCTCCTTTCCAGCCACCCTCCTCTGCGTTGGACCAATGATCTGGCATTTCCGTCAAGCCAACGTCGCAGCCGGGTCACTCATCTTATGGATGACCCTCCACAACTTCTTCAACTGCATCAACCCGCTCATCTGGCCCCGCGACAACCTGACCGAATGGTGGGATGGTGCGATCCTGTGCGACATCCAGATCCGGCTCCAGGTCGGCAGCTACGTGGGATTGACCGCCTCATTGGCCCTGGTACTACGCAAGCTCGCCCAAGTTATGGATACACGCAACATTACTGTGTCTACCAGCCATAAGGATAAAGTCAAACAGAAGATCTGGGAAGTCTTTTGGTGTTGGGGCGTGCCGTTAGTTCTGATGGGCATCTACTACGTCACCCAGTACAATCGCTACGCCATCGTCGGTATTGCTGGGTGTTGGTCTATCCACGATGCTTCATGGCCTAGCATGGTCATTAGTTTCATGTGGTCAGCCGTTGGCATCGTGATCGATTCCTACTGGGCATGTAAGTCTCACCTGCTCCCTCCCTCAAATCACCCTACTAATTGCGCAACAGCACTACTTATCTACCGTCTTTACCGATACCGGCGCGAGTTCCATCGCATTGTAGCAGCGCGGAATACCACATCCTCGCGCTTCATCCGCCTCTTCCTGGTCAGCCTAATCGTCATATTCTTCTTCCTCGTCTACACCATCATTCTCCTCGTACAAATGGCTGGGAGACTCACCGACACCTACTCTTGGGATAGAGTCCATGATCCCGAGAGATGGAGCATAGTCACAAGGACGCCCGGGCTGGGTAAGATCAGTATCGAGAAGTGGGTCCAGATCGCCACGGGATTCATCATCTTCGGCTTCCTCGGCACGGGTATCGATGCAAAAGACCATTACAGGCGACTGTTGGTCTCCATGGGAGTTGGCAAGATATGGCCTAGCCTATTGACCAGATCAGTCAAGAAGAAGAGACCAACCAGTTTCTCCGCTCCTCGTAGTTGGACTACATACTTTACCGGCAAAGCAAAGAAGATGTCGTGGTTTGGCGCTTCTGACTCTACAACTTCGACATCGACGAGCGCGGACTTCAAGAACGATACCTGGACTGCGTCTACATACAATAGCCCCGTGGCTCTCGATTCGATCCCCCGCTTACAGAGTGTCACAACGCAAGATACCTTGGTCTCACAGAAGAACGACGGAGAAATGTCTTCGCGCACGCACAAGCATCCTACTTCACCATCTCCGTCATCCCCAACACCTCCCCGCCCCACATTCTTCTCCCGCTACTTCACCCGCCCCTCACTCAACGGACCTCTCTTGCCACTCTTCTCCTACCGCAACATCACCGAGATCAACCCCGCCAAACCATCCAACTCTTCCACCACCACCACAACCACCATAACCACCGCCGCATCCACAAACACAAACACAAACCCCCCCAAACCCCCCACCCCCACCCTCCCCTCCGGCGTCCACACCCGCGCCTGGGCCGAAGACATATCCTCCTCTCTTCCTTCCGCTGGTATGAACAATGAAGGACACGGACACGGAAACGGACATGGAAGGGGTGTGCATGTTGTACGCGAAGTGCATCAGCAGCGGGATAAGAAGCGGGGAGGTGAGTTTGAGAGGGTGGGGAGGGAGATGAGGGAGTGGGCTTGAGGATAGGTGGGAGAGTGGGTGGGAGGTTGGAGGGGGATATGGGGGAGATATGGGAGATGTGGGAGGTTGGAACAGGGTAATGAGGATGGGGGTTATGATATCTTAGCTGGGCTTTGTTATTTCTACTCTCGATTTCGTGGCTTGGAGTATTGAGATCGCATGGGTTGGTTAATCCGTGGAGATAAATGAATATATTGGTATCTTGGGTATGCGTATGGACTTGGTGATGACGTACAGCTGCTGGTTCATAACAATGATGATGAGAGTTCATGAGCGGGATAACGGGGCAATGGGCCTCACCCTCTCCAATCTCGTGCATCGCCTTAGAGCATGTACTCACGACGTGACGTTGGACTGCAGTTAGTTTACGCGATCGAACTTACTTGCGAGAAGACCCATCGGATGCGAGTGCGAAGTCCAGAACCTCAGGCGTGTGGAGCGAGTATCAACATCGTCGGCGGAGTCTGTTTACTTCGGTTAAGACATCGGTCGCGCACATTGCATCATGTCAAGGATCGTCGCGTTGGGAGCCGGGAGCATCACGTCATATGAGTTTGATCACGCACAAAGAAAGCAATATTGTCGTGAAGCATTTTTGATTCCGTTATCGCATGTCCACATGGCGACGTATCAGTCAAAGGCAAGCCTCCACAAGAGGTAGCGAGCCGGTGTTAGAGTGACCGTCGTAATCGTGTTCAAGTAAACTCCCAGAGAACCCCAATGTGCCATTCAGGCGATTGACCAGCATTCCATAACATTCCTCAGTCCAGCACAGTCGTCACCTCCCGAAGTAGTAGTTGAAAGCTCGCGTGCCGCAGTCCGCCGTGTGACGTAGCTTGAGGGCCGAATCGCGCGGTGGAGTAGAGTGAGTTGCGAACTGGTCGGAAGGTTGTGCGTAGAAAACGTGTCGTTCAGTGATCATTTTCGTTCAGAACTGAGGTGGGTGATGCTGAGATTGAGGGGCGAGACGTTTATTTGCTGGGGGTTTGTTAGACGCGAGGAAGCGGGCGGTGGTGATGTGGCAGAACTTACGAACGAGCCCTAGTCTTTCTTCTCTTGCGCTTGAGACGGCGAACGCGCTTCTTCCTCCATTTGGCTCTCATCTTGTCGGCGGGCTGTGGTATGAGGTCAGCGGCTGCACTTGAGAGTGTAGAGTTGCCGGCGGGTGCAAGGACACTCGAGGAGCGACCATTGCGGTCAATTGAGTGTCGCCAGCGCCGCCATGGTGTGGAATATAGAACTTACATTGCTGTCGAGATGAGTGTCGTGAGTGTAGAACAAAGGTAGGAGCTCAGCGAGTCGAAATACCTAGGTGGGTGCGGGGCTCGCTTAGCTAGAACGGCTTAGCGCCCAGCCCTGAGGCAGGCGCCAAGCGTTCACGCGCGCCGCGTCACCTGCCTTACGTCAAACCTCAGTCGCGTCATCACCAACATCATTCCAGGGCAGTGTTATCAGCGGAGGAGTGTTGCACGATGGCAGGTGCAGCAGTGGCATGGCTGCAGATTAAGGTCGCGGGTGACAGTGCTTATGGTGAGTCGATGTCCTTCGATTCATGATTAACAGACTAACGCATGCAGGAACGCACGGAGGCAGGATCGAAGTGTGCGGGAATGAGCAGTTCAACCTCGGGAGGGATCCAGAGCTCTGGTTAGAGCACTGTCTTCCTCGCTGTGATATGGGCTTGTTCTAACTTTTACCACAGTCGTTACTCGTGGGCCGATGACCTCACTATTTCAAGGAAACATCTTCGCATCCATTGCATTCTTTACGAACAAAACCCCATCGCTAGGATTGCACCGTTCGTCTATGCAACTGATCTCTCTGCAAATGGCACTTACTTCAAGAAGAGCAACTCGGAGTACACGGCGTCCCAAGACGCGGGCATCCTGATGGGTCCGAAGAGCACATTCCTCCTGGAAGATGGGGATGAGCTTCGCATCTCAGAAACCGTCACCCTGGTCTACTGCTCGAACACGCCGGTGGAGCTTGTGAAGTTGACTGACATCCAGGAGCGAGAGAGGCAGACGTTTGCTTCGCGTTACCTCCTCACCGGTCGCCTGCTCGGCGAAGGTGGTAACGGCAAAGTCCTCGTAGGCATCAATCAAGAGACACAACGACAACTTGCGTGCAAGATCATCCGACTAGACAACATGTATGACACCTTGGCGCTATCGAACTTACGCCTTCCTACCGGAAAGCGCACGAAGCATCAGAAGTCAGTGAAGCAACAACTGCCGACCAGGGTTACCAACTGTTTCCGCGAGTTTGACATTCTCAAAGACCTCAGCCATCCGAACGTCATCACCATCGAAAAGGTCTTTCGGAGTAACAGTACCATCTACATCTTCGAAGAGCTCGTCACAGGTGGCGACTTATTCTCCTTTATCGAGTACAAGGAGGGCCAAATAGACAGTCTGCAAGCGGCCACTATCATCTACCAGATATTGAAGGGGATCAAGTACCTTCACGACCAAGACATCGTACACCGAGATCTAAAGCCGGACAACATACTCATGTCGTCCCTCGAGGACAGCGCTCGCGTCGTCATCACCGACTTTGGCAGTGCTAGGTTTCTCCCAGGGAAGAGCAGCCAAAACCCAGCAAAGGCCAACAAGTACCAACGGATGTTCTCGCTCGTGGGTACCTTGGAGTACATGGCGCCTGAGATTCACAAGCGCAATAGGGCCATTCCAGCCGAGCACGGCTACTCAAGATCTGTCGACATGTGGTCTATCGGCACGATTGCAGCTACGCTACTTACCGGAGATACGATGTTCACTGATCGCAGACACCCGGAGTACCATACGAATCCTCAAGCTGTCATCATGGGTCTTGCAGCAATTTGTGATCTAAGTCACCTGGACGATCCACATCATCCATCATGGGGCGGTGTCGGCGACCGACCAAAAGACTTCGTCAAGAATCTGCTCATACTTAAGGAAGAGGACCGAATGACAGCTTCGGAGGCCCTTGCGCATGATTGGTTCTCCTCCTACCCCGAAGACCTTGAGGACATGTACGCAGACTCAGTTGCAGATTGGGAACCTCGCGAAACAAGCCACGATCTGGTCGAGATGATTCCCAAGTCCTTGGCGAACAGCGTCGCTGCTGGTATGATCGGCGGGAGTCAGGTTCCAGCGACGACTTCACGCTACTTCGCTCTTCGCCAGCCTACAGACACGCTCCGAAAGCCTTCGTCCCAGCGCTGGCGTGCAGATACCCCATTGCCGTCCATTATGCAAGACCATGAAGCAGCCCAGTTTGCTAGTCAGTTGCAGGCTCCATCATACAACAGCATTGGCTCCATTGATCAGCACCGACAGCGCCATTCACTCTCAGCCACAAACGCATCCGGGGCAGGTATGTACCGTTCACGTGAAGATGCAGATGATGATTCCGACGGCTCCGAGGCGAGCTTGAACGGTGTTACGAACGACTACTCACAGCAAGAACACTTCGAATATCTACCGCCACCTCCACACCATGATTCCGTTCTGGTAAGCGAGACGCCCCTTGAGGTCTATCGTCAACGTCGGTGGGTTGAGGACCAAGGCCATGACTCAATACTCGTATATGAGACGCCGCCTGAGTTCCTACGCCAGTATACACACTCGTCGGACGATGACCTACCAACTTATGATGTGTGGGTCCATGATGACGCGCCGAGTGTGCGCAGTTCAACTCATGTCGCAGGAAAGCGAAGGAAGCTCTCGCACTACGATTGATGATATCATCTTCTTGATCTCGAACTAATCTACAGCGCCGAGCGAAACCATACCAAGTTTTGATGCCTCGATCAGGCGACCTTCGGGAGTGGTTTTCGAACATTCAACGTATAAGCTTTTAATAATGTCTGTGGGTATATAATACTATAAGAGCGATTATACACTACCAGCATGAGTACTTGCGGAGTAGTGGCGGATATCTCGCGACCAACAAGTATAATAGCATGAAGATGCGCTTCTCCGCGAGGAAGACGCCTATAAACAAGCTCCTCCGTCTCACCATCTTCCATACGATCAGTCACCCTCTCTTTCTTCACGTGAACCCAGTCGACACAGCCCCCTCCTTAGCACACCTCCCCGTCCACTCCCTCGCATGCTTCTCAAACGCGCCTCTCGAGTTCGCATATTCATTCGCGATCTTGACCTCCACCGCGCTCTCCAACTCCGGATGATCCAACAATGTCCTCAAACTCATCAGCACCTTCTCCATTGTATTGTTGTGATGCCAATCTTCGCCTAGCATCCTCCAGCTCACGACCCCGGTTCTTCCGTCCACATTAGGATGGTAGATTTTCGTTGTGAAGTTTACTTTGGGTGGTGCCTCTGGATATTCGTCGGTGAATTGAATGTGGAAGTTGAAGTTTCCGCCTTCGTAGGGGGAGTTCTCGAGGCCGTGGAGGGTGCCTGTCCATTCGAAGATGTCGCCATGTTTTAGTTCGACGTGGTAGCCGGCGGCGGGGGTTTTGCGTAAGCTTTGGTATTCTTTTTCGAGGCGTTTCTTGGTTGGCGTCATGTTGTGGGATAATGTTACTCGAACGCTTTTTGATGATAGAGACTGGATCAACAGGCAACAAAAACGATGCGAATGTTATCGTGCGGTTGAAGAAGGAAGATGTTGAGGATGGTCGCTTGAGTTGGCATACGTCATAGCGCGACTACTGTGGTGCGCGTTGGTCCGACGCGACTTCCTGCTTCTTTTCATTGACGCGCCTCACACATTGCACTATTCGAACGCGTGTTCATTAGACTAGGCTGTATTGAATATCGTCGCAACGCCCGGAGTCATGTTTTCTCATAGCGGTAAGCGCGAACGCCTGCGCTAACAGAGTGTCATACGCCTTCCCTTCCTCTATTATTCTGCATAGCCTCGTCGATCGTCTGGAGATATATTTTCACAGATCGTTCTTGGTAGTCCTGCGCACCACGCGCTTTAAGTCCAGCCATCTCGAGCATACACATTCTCATTCTCGCCAACCCCTTCGCGCGTCGGGACGCTGCCAAACTCCACTCTTGCATCGAAGCCGAGAGCTCCGCCATCCGCTTGCTATATGGCTTCCTCTTCGCGACGGCTAGCGGCGTACAAATGATCACGTCATCCCCCTTTCGTCGCCGTTCTACCCTCCCGCCTGGGTAGCAGGTCTTTCTTAGAGTTTGCGGCGCTGACGCTATCTCCGTGGCGTGCCGCGCATCCGAAGAATCGACTCTGCACCCTAAGTCTCCATGCGGTCGAGAAATTTCGAAGCCATAGCTGCAAAATTCCTGAGGCCCATGGCATCCGTTCCCGGACGGTACCTCGCCGTCAGTCGAATGTACGCGTTTTCGTGAGACACATCAAGCTTCCCACCCCGTACATCCATTAGCAGGCGGCCGAAAATGTCATCTTCGACTTGCTTCGTGAGCCTGGTGAGATCCTGGCTATCGAGCGGTATAAAGTCGTTCCAGAACGGCGCTGTGCCCATGCTCTGGTAGACCTCAACGAGTGCATGCTGAATGGCTTCGTCGTGCTTGAGGTAGGATACCAAGGTGTTGGCCTCCACCAGCTTGTCGTAAAATTCGACGAGAGTACCGCTGCGAAGTTCATTGGCGAGTTTGATGTGGTATGGCTTAGCCGACGTGGGCTCTTTGAGGATGGCCAGATCGGCGTCCATGAGCATGTCGCTGTACGCCACCAGCGTATCAAGTGCTTTCGAGGAGAAGATCCGTGTAGGAGCGCTCGGGAAGGAGAAGTCACTGTTGCTTGTCGCCGGCTGGTTAACGCCCTGATCCATACCAGTCACCGGTGCATTGCCGCCACGGTCATCGTTCGCAGACCTCGACGCCGATCGATAGCGGTATCCAGCACGGCCACGAGGAACGGTGACGAAAGCTCCTATCTGCTGAGGAGACTGCGACCGGTTGACTCGTCTACCCTGCCTCAAGGCCTCACGCACAGACCGCTGATATCTATGGATCAGCTTGGAGAAGTTGCTGCTATACTTGAAGCTGCTCCACATCTTCTGCCGACCAGTTGAGTACTCATTGAGTATGAGCGATGGGACCGAAGCCAATTGCCTCCTTATGACCCTTCGATCTATGGCTCGAAGAATGTCGAATTCTGCATGGCGCGCCATATGGATCAGCTCGCTTTCGGGGAGGCGGGTCCGGAGTGACGATTGAACTGGGTTCCTCGATTTGAGAGCGCAGTACAGGCCAACTAGAGTCTTGAAACGAAAGTCTTCATTGATGCAGAGAAGACGTGTCGATTGCTGACGAAGCGGCCGAAGTTCCCTCAACTCTTCATCCGACAGTGTGTCTTCTTCAGCTTGGGCAGCGCGCTGGGCCGAGGCCGTCTCTTCGTTAAGCGTACGCGCGCTTAGTTCCGCTGGCCGTGTTGACGGTGTAGATGCGTTTGGGAGAGAGCTCTCATTAGTTGCCTGGGCTGTTGCGAAAGATGTAGTATACACAGGCTGGTAGGAAGTCTTGGAGCTGTTAGAACGAAGCGAAAGGATTGTGAAGAGGTACTAACCGATGGGTCTTGCTCTTCAGATACGGCGGCTACAGGCGCCACATGCGCATTTTCCACATCGCTTTGAGGTGTGACAAACTAGATCTGGTCAGCAAGGGGCCCTACAAGCTAAAATGATGGAGCTCTACGTCGGTCTGCGTCTCAGATGGAACATTTGTTGCAGAATCTTCACTGACTTTGAGACCACCCGTAGGGACCGTTGGAGTTCCGCGATCTGGTGCAGCATGTTGCGCAGGCGTGCGGTCCTGCAGTAGCTGCATGAGCAAGGACTTTATCACTTGTTGCTCGGCCTTGATCTGATCGATGCTCGTCTTGACCTCGTCAAGGTCAGCCTTGGTAGCAAGTCCAACGGCTCCATGGGTGACCGTATCGCCGACTCTCTGTAGAGGCACGGAAGCAGGCATTGTTGACTGGCTAGATGAAGAAGACATTGTGAAGCGGTGGTCGTGGGAAGTGAAAAGTCGTGCTGAGCGCGCTTTGGTGGTAAATGATTCTGAGAAGGTTGAAAGTCAAAAGAGTTCAATCGCAGTGGTTGAGCTTTCCAGTGGTAGTTAAGGTGTTTCATCGGGCGGCTGGGCTGCGTTTATATACTCCTAGGAAGCCGCTGAATCCATCATGTGATGACTCCCGTCGTGTGGTGAATGACTGTGGCGCTGCGCATCGTCGTGGTCCGTGGACACGCAGCCACGGTACCTGTTGTAGCTGAAGTGAATGGTATATAGGCGGAGGGTCGAGATTGTTCCAGTGTGCAGTGGAGTCCTGGTAGAAGTGTCGTGCTGCTTCCTCGTGGTATATGCGTATATCATGCGAAAAGATGAGGAAGGCAGGATTTCCAAGATGAATTCGCACTGCCATGGCGCTGTCGATATATAAAGCAGAGTAGTGGTTGCGAGCTTCATATAATCTTTGAGGTGTACGGATTTAGCGGTCAGCTCCTATACTGGAGGCATAGACCCGCGTAAGGTCAAACGGTTTGCGATAGGGGAACTCAGGAAAAGCCACGTTTGTCTACCAGTATTAGCAATGGAGTGTTTGATGTAGTATGCAGAATACCATCTAGCAAGCGCTTGTAACGATGAACAAGCTGCTACCAGCAAAGGCTCCTCCACCCGGGATGAGGCACATGTCGACAGTCACAGCGCTAGGCGACTGTGAGGAAGTACGCGTTGATGATGGTAGAATACCGTGAAATCAGGAAGAAAGCTACATCACATATATTTCCACGGTTGTTTTGCGGTTGCATCAGTGGACTCTACTTAACTTTTACTGCCTCACTGTCACACCACAGGGTTGACAGCTTTCAATCGGATACATTACCACGTTGTCACTATGGTGGAGCGGAACGCGGCGATCACTACTACTGAGTAGCGGTAACATCGTGACGAAACAATGCATATACCTGTAGTCATTCCACAGCAACAAGGTACCACCGTTCATAAGGCGAACAAACCTAGTTCCAGTAATCACCCCACCAATTCGCCCCTTCTCTTCTTCACCTCGGAAGAAAAGCAAGTACAAGGATTTGCCTTCAGACTCAAACTTGCCTTCACAATCAAGCAAACTTGCTCATCATGGACCAAACACGCGCCGAGACAATCACCGATTTCTTCCAAACCCTCATGGATCTCAACGTCAAAATCCCCAAACTAGCCCGCGGCATGGAAGTAAAGCTACTAGCTGCATGTATGGATGCGGGGGTGGCTCCCTTTTGGGATGACTTCACTGAGCTTTCTCTACCGCAACTGCTTACTCTAGCGAGAAAGATGGAGCACGAAGCGGCGGATATGGTTAACGCAAAGATGCAGGGCAATAATTGGGATAATGAGGATATGAGGGAGCAGAAAGTGGAGTACCTCAAGGCTGTAGCGAAGGTTGGGCCTAATGCGACGCCGAAGGGGTTGGAGAATTATGCGGAAAGGGCGAAGATGATGGTGGAGATGGAGAAGATGGAGAGGGATATTGAGAAGGGTATGGAGGGACTCGTGGTGTGAGGCGGCGGGAAGATAATAATGTAGGGAGGGGAAGAGGTGCTGAGCTGCCGGTTTTGCGATATAATAGAGGTTCATCATAGAAACGCAAGATCGACGGGTTTTCCATCGTGATTGCACCGTTGCCGAGCATCCCCTCAAGATGTCAACTGACGATACTCCTTGACCGTCTCACGAAAGCAGTGGGTATTCTGTATCCACTGTAGAAAGTGGTTCGCAGCCTGAACATATCGAGTCTCTTGCTCCTGATATGTCAAAGGCGTGCCGATGTACTTTTGTCCAAGATCGCTCGCCATGCGAGCTTCCAATCTAGATACGAGATCGGCTACCTCGGCTGGCTGGAGAAGGAGTTGGTCAAGGTTGTGTGTGGCGCTCAGGCTGGAGTTCATGGCGTTGATAGCGTTCGTAAGGGCGGAGATGAATGAGCCCTTGATGTCTTGGACTGGCGGAGGAAGGGGAGCAGGGTACTGTACATCGGCAGTATGGGAAGCACCGCTGTCGCCACGCAACCCAAACGCGTCGGCGACATGCCCCTTCGCAGACGAGATGAAGTTCCTCAGACGCCGATGGTAGCCTTTCACCTTGTCCACAAACGAGTTGAGTCTGCCGCAATCACGGAGTTCACACTCAGACTGGCTATCGTACGCTCTCTCAATTGCCGCATCATCTCGCTTGAAGATTGAGCCCTGCATTGCGGAGTCGATGCGGTGAAGGACTGCGAGTTCGTCTTGATGCACCATATCCATCATTTCTGAAGGTTGTAAGCGCTCTTTCTGCGCTGACCGTGCTTTGTCGTTCATGCGCTTCGCTTTGCGTAGCATACGACAGAGAAAGTGTCGGCGCTTGTCGACTGATAACCTTTGAAGCGAAGGTGGCGCTTCCAGGGGATTCAGGGCGTCGAACTCTTCTTGGTTCAGCGTCGGATCGGCCCAGCTATCGTGAGCGGATACGTCGGCCATCTCGACGTCTCTGGAGTACAAGACCTCTTTCACTCTTGCTAGGAAGTTGCGTGCGTCGCCCAGAGCGATGAGCGAGGTCTGTACCCCGTCTTTGTATTTGTTGTCAAGCCACGTGTCTGACGGAGGAGTGGAACGAGATGATACTTCCATGTGTATGTCATGGAGGACCTTGGCATCCAGACTATGCATCAGCTCGTAAAGCCCATTCTGATCGAGCAGCATGCCCTAAAAGGGGCTCAATTTGCAGTGCATTCTTTCCACTTCGTCATGGAAGAACTCCAGCCCTTTTAGGCGAAGCGCGTAAGAGATTCCGTCGAGATAGCCGTGATCCCCTTGCCGTGGCGCTAACTTCGTGTGTGCAGGTAAAGTCGACTCCGGGGATGCATTACCAGGCTGGAATGTGAATACAGCGCCAAGAAAGGGAGAGTCTCCGGGTCCTGGAGCGGAACTGGTCTGGATATCTGGAGCACCATCGAAGTCGTAGTCCATGTCGTCCGATTCAGCTGCAGTGGTTGCATTGCCCTCATGGCTGACATTCCAGTTGAAGCCAGTTTTCATCGGAAGTGTGTTGGTCTGCCAGTGGCCAGCGACAGAGCCCGAAGCCACGTTCCGCTTGGCAGCGAGGATGGCTGCAGGCACAGGCACACCCGAGCAATCACTGACCTTGGAGACGAAACGGCCGATGAGAGCGAAGAAAATCTGCTTGTCTGATATGTTTTCAAGCTCGAACTTGATAGCAGCGATCAATTCCTTGTACCGATCGTCGGTGATGGCAATGTCCGTGGCGGTGATGTGGTAGTCGATGGCTTTGCTTAGTATGCCCTCGAGCGAATACAAAGCTTCGTTGTCGTTGTGGAAAATCCTCTCCCTGCGGAAGATGCTGTTCAGGGATGAACCGATGTCTTTGACGCCCTGCTTGCGGACTCGCTTGGGAAGAGTAGAGCCGACGACATATATAACAGTGGTGCGCTCAATGTTCTTATCGATGGCGAGGTCGGCGAAGCCGCTGAGCGCTGCTTTGATGTGCGCGAGATCATTGCTCGCCGGGGGTTGTGAAGGCTATGAGATGTTAATTACGAGTCTGGCGATCAGGGCGCGATACAAACCATAGACAAGCCATACGATGCGCCGCTGGCGAACATGGTAGCAGTGTCCATGGCCTTTGTCATGTTAGTCTTGACTTATTGAGTTGATGTTAACGCCCTTACAAGACTGCGGTCAACTAGTCTGTGGTCGAGGTGACGATAGTGTACGGTACACGCGTCTGTAATGAGGAGTGGCGACGGAGGACCAGTGGAGAGCGATTTGTCTAGCGAAGACTGTGAAGTGCACAACGGATGAAAGTCTGTGATGGAAGAGATCAACCGATGGGAGTGCTGATGGTTCAAGGAGCGTGGGTGCGAGAAGTGCGTCTGTGCCAGTGGGGTTGAGCTGGGTAGCAGAGGGGCGACGATAGTTCACAGCGTCAGAGGCGGCGCGTGATAAAGCATTGTTCGAGTCGCCAAGACTGACAGCAGAGTGCGCTGCGGGTCAGCTGCTATTGTAGCTATTCTGGCAGGTATTCGTGGTAGTGAAAGTGCAAAACGACTGAGCACCGGCGCAAAGTGAGCTGCAGAGCGTGGTATGCTTCTCCCAACCTTGAATAGCTACAAAATGAAGCTTGAAACAAAGACCGGTCGCCAGTCATGATGCAAGACTGCAGCGTCATTAGAAACGTTTGAGAATGCCTCGGACGCAACACATTGAAATCCGGGACGGGGGAGAATCAAGATTCGCTTGATCCTACCATGTTTTGCTGAGCCGTCTCCATATGCTCATCCACAAGGTCACCAGTATGAGCACTTATCCATGACAGTGGTACGATTGGCATGATCTTGTTGGAGTTCGAATTTCTTGGCGCTGTCTGCGCGGGACATCACAGCTACCGGTCTTGGTTTCCGCATCCTGCGTCATCCATAGTATGTACATCCGCTATGCCCAATGTTGTCTTCATTTCACGCTTGTAGATTCTCGCACCCCTGCCCGTGCTCATCAAGAGCTCAGTGATCCCATGGATGCTTCCAGCCGAGGAGCGCTGGACCGTCCTTCTTCGCGCGGTACATCAACTGCCATTGTTAGCGCTATGCCACCTTCTTTCCGTTCCTTCCACATACGAAGAACCACATGGATGCGCCGAGGCCGGTAGCCATGAATCGGTAAAGCGGTCGGACCGGGTGGATGTGGATGGGGTGGTTCGGGTGCGGCGCATATTTGGGCGGGCCCATGCGGGCTCGTGTGGGTTGCATGATGACTGGGAGCCTGGTAGACTTTCAGTACTGTAAATTGAGTGTAGTGTGTGGTAGCATATCGTACCTGGTTGCTATAGGGTGCAATGGCCTGTTGACGTCTTTCGCGATGGAGGTGTGGTTAAGGTCGATCGGAGGCTACGCTAGCGTGTGGCGCCAAGCCAGTGCCATCAACCGTGGATCGCGTTCTTTGCTCCTTCACCTACGACAATGTCTTCGCCTATTATCATGCCCGCACAATAGCTTCTGCGTTCTAACTCCTATCCATGGCAGCGCATGCCATCGCGACCACGTAAATCTCGCAACATCACGCCACCGGGTTGGAGAAATAGCCCGACTCCCCTGCGGACATCTGCGCCGAGGACCACTAGCAGCCGGTACAAAGCGTCGCCGCGAATCTTCCATCACGAACTCAAGCCACCACCACCGCCGCCGACATGGCAAACTCGGCAGGCGCGACGCCATCGCAGACCCTGCAGCGACGTTTCAAAGGATGCAGCAAGATCGGCGAATACGAAATGATGAAGAAGCTTGGAGAGGGCACTTTTGGTGAAGTCCACATGGCGCGACAAAAGGCTACTGGCAGCATCTTTGCGCTGAAGAAGATCCTGATGCACAACGAGAAAGATGGCTTCCCTATTACGGCGCTGCGAGAAATCAAGCTGCTGAAGATGTTATCGCACGACAACGTCCTCAAGTTGGAAGAGATGGCCGTAGAACGACCAAAGACCGAGGGCAGGAAACGCGCCATCTTGTACATGGTCACCCCATACGCAGACCACGATCTATCAGGTCTCCTCGACAACCCCGAAGTTCAGTTCAAGGAGGCGCAAATCAAGTGCTACATGCTGCAGCTGTTCAAGGGCCTGCGATACCTCCACGATAACCACATCCTACATCGAGATATGAAGGCCGCCAATCTTCTCATCAACAACCGCGGACGGCTACAAATAGCGGATTTCGGTCTCGCGCGACACTACGACGAAGCGGTACCACAACGGGGCAGGGGGAACGGCGAAGCCAAGCGTGAATACACTACATTGGTTGTGACTAGATGGTATCGGCCCCCAGAGCTTCTTCTGCAGCTCAGGAAGTACACCCCGGCTATCGACATGTGGGGTGCGGGTTGTGTGTTTGGAGAGATGTTCAAGCGCAAGCCCATCCTCGCAGGACAGAGCGACATTCACCAAGCCCAGATCATCTTCGAGCTTGTCGGATCGCCCAACGACGACAGCATGCCGGGGTGGCGCGATCTGCCCGGCGCGGAACCCATACGCGCATTCCCCGTCCACACGGGTACTATCGCTCAACGGTTCCGCGAACTCTCGCCTGTCGGATTGTCACTCATCAAAGACCTCATGAGGCTCGACTGGCGGAAACGAATCAACGCCATCGACGCCATCGACCACCCATACTTCCGAGAACAGCCACTCCCAATGCGCGAGGAAGACATCCCTACTTTTGCAGATTCACACGAGCTAGATCGACGGAACGCGCGAGGCCAGAAGCAAGCACTACCACCAGCACCACAAGGCGGCACAGTCGGCGGCGGACCAAACGGCGAATGGACCGGCCAAGGTCCACCACCACAATCATGGCAGAACGGCGACCGAAGATACGGCGGCCCACAAGACCGCGGTCCACCAGGCGTCGACAGAGGCCAAAGAGGAGGCTACGACCGCCGCTACGAACACCGGCCTCCACCCCCACCACCAGTTGGTGACCGGCGACCGAACTGGGGCAACGGCGCAGACAGAGGCCACAACGGTCTCCCACCACCTCCCGCAGACGGCCGTCACCCCCTCCCACCTGTCCCCCGCTACGGCCCCGATGGCGCAGACCGCAGGAGACAACCGCCAGCTGCCGCCGGCGGCGACACCTATATACCCAGCTACGGTGCAGAAGGTCCTCGCCGCTCCCGCGAACCAGACGATCGACCTCGCCGCGGCTCGCGCGACTCCGGTAACTCGAGAGAAGGATACACAGATGACCGCTCAGACCGGAACCGCGCATACAGAGATCGACCAGATCGGAATGACGCGAGGGGCTTTGCTAGGGAACGGAGAGATGGACGGACACGATCGCGTAGTCCAGACCGCAGAGACCAAAGACGCGATAACCGGGATAACAGGGAAAGAGATGCGGATATCTACCGTAGACGATAGGTCTGCTACGGTTGCAATAACCGAAAAGCGCACGACGGGATCTACGCCATCGGTACATGTACTGGTACAAGGTTTCAACAGACACTTAATGAGAGGAGTAAGACATGGCAGTTTGAGAGCTTCGCTGTCAAGATGCGCGTGCATGAGAGGTGGGGTGCTGCGGCTGAACCTGTGGTTTATTAGGATGAAGAACGGGTGGCTGCTGAGATGGGCGTTTCTGGTTGAGGGGTTCTTAGCATTTCTCTGGCGTACATGACTTCTTGCTTGGAGGAGGGGCTTTATTGATTCGATTATGGGCATGAATACCAAGTTCTAGTGTATGATAGGATGGACAGACAGACAGATAGCATGGCGTGGTATAGGTAGTTTTGGGGAAGTAGTGGTAAAGAAACAGATCACAATATGTTCACTGTTGCATTGCTTATTATTATGATGTATCGCGCACATTCAAAGATATCATAAGTTCACTTGGCTCGATTAGATCCTTCCGTGTGTGGTTCTTGGCGGGGCTGCTGGAGAGGCGACAAGCGGGAAGCCGCGCCTCAACTTCATTCTGCCTCCACCACCTGCATCATCACGCACAACAGCTGACGACGGGCCGCAGCTAAACATACAGCGATGCGGTGCCGGCATTGACATCGATACTGATACCGCTTCGGCATCACAGCATACGGCAAAACTGACGGGGCACCACCCCGACAGGAAAAATCGAACACTCACTGCTAAGGGATGACTTCTACAAACGCTGCACAACACAATAAGAAGCCCTAGATTTTTTTAGAGAAGCTCTACACTATATTTTATATAGAGTAGATTCTTTCCTGTAAGGTTGTTATTCTTAAATCTATTGTTGTTGTAACGTTGTAGAGTTGTAAAAGTTAACCTCGCTTGTTAGTGTTTCGTTATTCCTGTCGGAGTGGTGGGGGCGCCTGAAGATGCAGGCGCAGCGAAGGAAGCTTGGCGGACTCAGCCTCAGCGTCTCCGTGGTGCGCCCCGCAAACCGGTGAAGATGGCTGAGCCTCGTCTCTTCGACTTCTGTCTATCGTACTCGTACGCTTGAACTCCTACATCATTCTTCGTTTCCGCGACTGCGAGTTCCCTTACGCCAGCTCTCTGGTGGTCGATCGCTAGCTTGTCATTGCCTGTCTCCACTTCCCGAAGCGTTCATCACGGTTGAGACGCAAACACCCAAATCCACCTTACGAACGCAGCACAGCCTTTTTTACGAGCTCTTCCCTCGGTGCTCGCGTCTTTCCCAAACGTATGCTCTTCTCAGCTCTTTCGACCCGCAACTCTTGCCGGATGTGGAGCCATGCCACGATGCCATGAGTGCAGCAAGGTTGTGATTCCGAGGCGCAAACCCGGTGAACCCAGCAAACGACTTCGTACATGGTCCTCTGGACCCGAACTAATCAGATCTGCCGACAGTGGTTGCGATCTGTGCTCCTTCATTCGGAAAGAGATAGAGAAAGTTTCCGCGGCAAACCTTCGACGCATCGATAACGAGCTCCCGATTGTGCTTCGAGACCACAACGGAGTAATTGAGTTGGGCGAGGACAAAATTTGCTCTTACGGCCCCGCGCCTTACTTTTCCTATCGCCTTCATATAGGTTCGAGCCCGATGTATCATGATGATGATACCCTAGAACCTCCCTATGACCCGGTCCTGCGTGCTCGTGAGCTTCTGGAAGC